CCTCAAATGTTCAATTCAAATAATGAAATAAGATTACCCCTGACTCCCCTGTTCTATAGCATGTCAACAAAGGGATTTGAAGACAGGTGGAGACATATGTGCCTTACAGGCATGAGGGGATTCTGAACTAAGGTGTATACACCTGAGAGGGAAGTCAGGTGTCAGGGAGAAAACATTCAGAGGACTTATAGCAATGCACCACTGCCCTAGGAAACCAACACAAAGCCAGGTCACTAGTCTGTCTACAGGTTGAGATGATCCACAAAAGAAGCCACAAAAGTATCTCTCCAACTAAAAGAATATTCCTATGCAACAGGTAAGAAGGGGTACCTCCAAGAATTTATTGGTTATGGACATGACACTCTAGCATATTTTTGCATTTTGGAGACTTAGGATCTTAGAAATTACTGATGCAGAAGTCAAGGATATTAAATAAATTCATAATTGGATTTTTCAAGATGCTTTTTATTTGTTCTTATAAATAGACAATAAGCAAACCCACCTGCAATGCAGGAGACGCAGGAGAAGCATATTCGATCCTTAGGTTGGGAAGATCCCCAGAGGAAGGCATGGAAACCCACTCCAGTATTCTTGCCTGGAGAATCCCATGGACAGAGGAGCCTGTTGGGCTGCAGTCCATGGGGTCGCAGAGAGTTGAACACGACTGAAACAACTGATCATGGCACGGCACACCCTAATTTAAAAATTGGAGGGTAGACCATTATTTTAATTTGTTTAAAGACTTTTCTGGATGTAGACCACTTTAAAATTTTTTATTGAATTTGTTACAATATTGTTTCTGTTTTATGTTTTGGTTTTTAGGCCACAAAGCATGTGGGATCCTAGCTCCCTGACCAGGGATCAAACCCACAGCCCCTATCTGCATTGGAAGGTGAAATCTTAACCACTGGGCCACCAGGGATGTCCCCAGATCGTTATTTTAAAAAATAAAAATTAAAAAAACTTCTAAAATCGGAGTATTGTGAAAGCACAGAACCGTTCCTTAAATGTCTCAGCTGCTTAATAACGGCAAAGACGATTTCTCCCTCAATTTCAAGCCTTTCAGCGGCTCTTATCAAGAATATCATTTTGGAGTTTGCAAAGTGCTTTAACATGGATTCAAGCATCCCTTCAAGAGGAGTGATCCTGCGACCTCATGACATTTCACATACGATATTGGATTCCTTTGATGTTTGTTTTTTGCCACTTGCCAACATTTGAATTTGTCTTGCTCAAACAGCCTGAAGCTTGGAGCAAATGGAGAGAGAACATGACTCACAGTTCACTGGTGGAGCCCAGTTCCTCACATGCTCTCCATCATCTCTGTAGGACTCTGGGGCCTTCCCCCAGTCAGCGCTGTTCGCCTGTCAACCGTACATAAGAGCATCAGGAAACAAAGGACCTCATCCCACTGGACACAGAGCAGGGTGATTTTTTTTCCCAAACCAGATTTCCAATCATGAAACGCGATTTCCACAGCTCTGATGGGAGTTCTTCCAGATAAGTCCCGGGTCACGTCTTATTTCACAGCAGGAATGCAAACAGTACACTTGAAAAAGTTTTTCTTTCTGTTTGCAGTGAATTAAGTTCTCTATCAGGATTAAGATCTTCGGTTACATCAAATCGCCAACTGGCAGAAGACCAGACCTAACTTCTCAAAGGGAACATTGTCACGGAAAATATTTTCAATAGTGGGTGTAATTTTCCCAAAGCAGCTCTTAGTAGGTAAGTAGTGGTGTGCCATGGGGCTGGAGGAAAAACGATCTTTCTCCAAGATGCTTTTCATTCTCTGGGGAAGTGATAAAACCTTCTTCAATGTGTCACACAGTTGTTCTGGACCACAGGCCAAACAGTCTTGGAAACCTCAGAGGCTCAAATACATCAACAAAAGGAAACATTTAAAATGAGATGGTCTGTCGGGCAACACAAGGACACAGCGAAAGCTGAATTTCCAGTAGTGACAGCTCACCCTCAACCCCAGACCCCTGGAGACGGACGGTCAGGGAATCTGCTAAACCAGTGGCCTGTGGGAAATGCAACAATTCAAGAGTAGTTGTTTGTCGAGCTGTGTCAGAGATAGGACTTAGGAATCTCCAGAGATGAGAGTAATGAATATGAGAGTTTGCCCCCAGGAACTTGGGCACAGCAGCGCCTGCATTTGAACACCCCTCTGCTTCTCATTAGCTGCGTGGTCTCGGGCAAGGTGCCAAGAACAGGGTTGTTGTGAGGGTGAAATGCGACACAGTATGGAAGAATCTTAGAACAGTCACACGGCCCTTTAGGAGGCCCAGTCTCCTCTCTGAGCCTGTTTGTGTTTGTCTGATCTGAAGGCTCATACTCCATGCTGCATTTATCGGACAGGTCTCTCTAGCTTTCTGCGTGCGTGGGTGCATGTTAAGTGGCTTCAGTCGTGTCCAACTCTTTGTGACCCCATGAACTGTAGCCCACCAGGCTCTTCTGTCCATGGGATTCTCCAGGCAAGAATACTGAAGTGGGTTGCCATGTCCTCCTCCAGGGGATCTTCCCAACCCAAGGATCCAACTGGCCTTTCTTGAATTGCAAGTGGCTTCTGAGCCACCTGGGAAGCCCCTTGCTTTCCAGGGACAGAAATGAGCTCAAATTAACCTAAACAGAAAATGGTTCATTGGTTTAAAGGTCAGAAAAAGAAGATTAAGGCTGAGAAGACAAGCTGTTGAAATGATGTGGTCATCTCTCTCTCTCCTTCTCTCTGCTGGTATGCTGTTTCCTTCTCTCCTTTGATAGACCTTCTTTCCCCACAAAACAAGCCCAGACCCACATTCTCCCACATGCATACAACAACCACACGCCCTGTGCAGAAATTCCTGGAAAGAACTGCGGTTGATTTGGTTCTGCCTGATGTCCTTGCCCTTCCCAAGCCCTCCTGTCCAGCGGGCAAGACAGTGTCTTTGAGGAAAAGAAGGAAGAGGGTTGGGGAGAGGAAACCAGAGCTACTATTAATAAATTCCAATCAACAGGGAATTCCCCTGAGGTCCGGTGGTTAGGACTCTGCACTTTCACTGCCCAGGGCTTGGGTTTGATCTTGTTTGGGGAACTAAGATCCCCCAAGCTGTTCATTGTGGCCAAAAAGAAAAGCAAAGCAAAACCTAAAGAAAAAGAGTATTTTGCTCAGTTTCACAGCCTCAGTTATCATAGATAAATGTGCCCTCAGCCCTGACCAGACTGTCTGTGCCCTGACTTCTCTGGACTCCTTGGGACTCCTGGCGGGACTCCTCTGGTTCAAGTGAGTGAAGTTACACCAACACAGTTTGGCTTAAGCTGCCCTAACAAAGGACCACAGCCTGTGTGTCCTCAGTAATAAAAATGTACTGTCTCTCAGTTCTGGAGCAGAATTCCCAAACCAATGTGTCATCAGGGTTGTTTCTCCTGAGGGCTGTGAAGAAGAGTCTATCCTGGTTTCAGATAGAGGAGGCTTTCCCTGGTTTCTGGTGTTTTCTGGCAAATGTGGCCTCTCCTTGGCTTGTACGTAGCACATCACCATTCTCTGCCTTCATCTCCAAGCCGTGTTCTCCTTGTCTGCATCTACATTTCTTCCTTTTACAAGGACAGCAGTCATACTGGATTAGAATCCACTCTTCACTATGACCTTCTCATAAATAATTATGTTTGCAAAGACCTTATTTCCAAACAAGGTTTATTAAGCGATGCAGGAAGTTAGGACATAGAAATTTTGTATGGGAGACAATGTAACTCAATTATATACTTAACGGGGCTTACCCGGTGGTCCAGTGGCTAAGACTCTGTGCTCCAGTGCAGAGGACCCCAGTTCAATCCCTGGTCAGGGAACTAAATCCTGCATGCCACAACTGAAGATCCCACACACCACAAGGAAGACTGGTGCAGCCAAACAAATGTAAAATAATAGTATTAATAATAATACACCTAGAAAGAATAGAATAAAAAGATAAAAATGGAACAGGGACCATGAATCAGAACTTTTAAATCCATGATAGTAGCATTTTCTGTGCAACCAAAGCATTTTTAAATAAGATTTTGTAATACTTTACGAGTGTTTGTTTGCTTTTTAAAGAATTACAATTATTTAAGGGCATCTGACGGACTTCCCTTGTGGCTCAGCTGGTAAAGAATCTGCCTGCAATGTGGGAGACCTGGGTTCAATCCCTGGGTTGGGAAGATCCCCCGGAGAAGGGAAAGGCTTCCCACTCCAGTATTCTAGCCTGGAGAATTCCATGGACTGTATAATCCATGGGGTCTCAAAGAGTCGGACTCGACTGAGTGAAATTAACTTTCACGGCATCTGACGTGCTTGACCTTTGAAAAGTTTAAGTTCCCAATTTGTGTTTAAACACTCTGAGATACCTAATTTACTAAATGAATGTACTTGGCTGTATTTTTATAAGTCATACAAGCATATTTAGATGAACGTCAGTTAATTTAAACTGAATATTAGAAAAATGGTAGTGAGGGTTCCTCACCATGAAGTCAAGTTCTGCAGATGCCTTGATTGGAGGTCGCAGCACACACTGACCTTGGGGGATTTTTGACTCTCAAATGCTCCTGGAATTTCCCCCAGCTCCCCAGTAAAGACAAGCACTGCCTTGTGGAATTCTGTGTCGTAGGCCAAGCCTGGCAGGAGCTGGATCTGAAAGGTGGTTTGTGAAGGGCTTTGAAAACTAAGCTCAGACCTATTTTCAGCAACTTTGACGGCAGCATCTTTTATGCAAGTAATATCTTAGAGTGCGCTAGTGATCAATAACACATCTGCCAATGCAGGAGACCCGGGTTCAGTCCCTGGGGTGAGAAGATCCCCTGGAGAAGAAAATGGCAACCGACTCCAGTATTCTTGCCTGGAAAATTCAATGGACAGAGGAGCCTGGTGGGCTACAGGCCACGAGGTCACCCAGAGTCTGACATAACTGAGCGACTGAACAACAACTTCTCTGACCACCACACCTCTCTGCCAGGTGGTAGATCTTGGTTATTTCTGCTGATCTGGTCCCATGGGTCTCAGAGAGCATCAGTCCCCTGGGATCTTGTTAAAATGCAGCCCCGGGTCTACAGAGTCTGTGGTGGGGCTGAGACGAGGCTTTTCCAAGAAGCTCTCAGGGATCTCCAGGTGCAGGAAACACACCGGGAGGAGCGAGGCTCCAGACAAGAGTGTATCTCTGGGTGGGTCTCCCCGGACCCCCCGCAGTAATGCTGTTCTGGGGCCACAGAGCCTGTGTCTCAGGTTAGAGCGCCCATGGGACCCTGCCAACCACCCTCGGCCTCAGGGCCTCCAGGCAGAGACTTCCCAAGGACACTCTTTCTTTTCTCTTAGTTTTTTGTTTGGTTTTTTCTTTTTGATCTCAATGCATGGCTTGCCAGATCTTAGTTCTCTGACCAGGGATTGAACCTGTGCCCTCGGCAGTGAAAGCACAGAGTTCTAACCACTGGACAGCCAGGGAAGTCCCAAGATACTCATTTCTAAGCAACACAGGATAAGGGGCACCTCCCAGGAATTTTTGGTCCTAGATGTGAAACAACTTCATGTTAGAAATTGCTGATGCAGAAGTCAAGGATGTTAAATAAACAAATTCATCACCAGGGTTTTAAAAATGCTTTTTTTTGACTTGTTCATTATAATAGAGAATTCTAAGGATGTAGACCATGTTTTATAAAAATCATTTCTAAATGATTTTTCAGTTTTCTGCAGGTTGCTTCCATCATTTTCTGTTGAATAGGATCTTCACTTTATTCACATGGATATTATTATGTTAATTATATCTGGAGAGATATATGGATTTGTTACCTCCCACCTCAGTGTCGCATGAGCTAAAAAGCAACCTTTATTTCTACAGTTGTGGAAGGCTACTCATGGTGTTTTGAGATTTAGAAGAAAAAGTTTGATGATCTAGACTAATATCTAAAATTTTTAAGTTTAAAATTACCTATGGATATTATAAAATAGATGTTGGCTTTTTGACTCTAGCCTTTTGGTTCATAAAAGAAAATCAGGATACCTGTAATTTGTTTTTTTTTTAAGCCTTTTATAACGTTTGCTTTCTCCTTTTGGTTGTAAATCTGGTTTCTTTAGCATGCAATACCAAATCTGGCCACACGAGAGAAGCAGAGCACCGCTGTCTGTGCTCAACCAGAAAAGCCTTGTTTTGCGTGTGGGATTGAATTTCAAAACCTGTAAGTTAGAATTGAAAATCACAGAATGTAATAAACTTCTTCTGCTGGTTAACATTCCACAGGTATAACCTTTCTAACTTAAAAGTTCATATGAAGCATCCTGTTTTGAGTGAGCTAGCTCTATTATTAAGGGGAATAGCTCGTTTCTTTTCAGCTGGTCCTACCAGCTTTAAAAGGATGGATGAAGACGATGAAGCAAGCATGCTAAGCTGGTTAACTTCATTAAAGCCCAGGTATCGCGCTGACCATGGCTTCTAGCAGAATATAGAGAGGGTAGGGCGAAGACAAGAAGCCTTCGAGAGAAGAACACTGCTTTGGATGAATGCTGTGCCCACATGCAGAAGGCTGTCTGGAAGAATCCCTTTGCAAAGGAAAAGAAGGGCCCCTGAAAGGATCAGTTTGGAAACCGCTGAGCTCATTGGAGCTGGGATCTAGAATAGCTGCCCTAGGCGGTGACAGGATTGATTTGTATCTGGCTCTGTGAGCTTAGTCTTCAAAGGCATGCCGTCTTGGACATGCTTCTATCTTGTCTCTGTGAAAACTGACAAAAGTCTTATTCATCTATGTTTTCATGGGGGAAGTGTGGCTAAAGAGTGAAGATTTGAAATTCCATCAAACACTCAGGCGTGCAGGTTCAGAGTTCAGTCTTTTAGCTGTGACCTCACGTCACAGACATGGTGAAATTCTGAAGGATGACATGAGTTCTTGCTGTGCCTCCTTCTTTAGGCTAGAAGGTTGGACACAACGAGTTGGACAGAGGACCACAAGCTGTGTGACTTCACACAGCATCGACCCCTTCTCCCCTGGGTCTGGAGAACAGAAGTCCAAATGAAGCCATCAGGGCCAGGTTCCCTCCAGATGCTTCAGACAAGAAGCTGGTCTTTGCCTCTTCCAGCTTCTGCTGGCCGCTGGCTCTCCGTGGCTTGTTTCTGTTCAGTCTCTGCCTTGTGCTTACACCTCCTCCTCCGTATCTGTGAATACTTTTTCCATCCCCCTCTTTTATTTATTTATTTAAAATTAAAAAGAAAAATTGAATGTGCTCTATCTCCCTTGTGGCTCCTGGGCTTGTTGCCCTGAAGCATGTGGGATCTTAGTTCCTCAATCAGGGATCTAACCCACATCCACTGCATTGGAAAGCAGATTCTTAATCCCTGGACCACCAGGGAAGTCCCCTCTGCCTCCATCTTGTAAGAACTTTGCCACTGAATTTAGTGATCACACTGATAATCCAAGATAAACTCCTCTCAAAATTCTTAATCACATACTTTGGACTCTTTAAAGTAACAGTTGGTCTTCTACCACATCCAGTAAATATTCAGTTTCTGGAGACTAGGGCATGGATGGAGGCTTATGGGGCATTGGGGGAGGGCACAACTCAACTCACTCCCAATGGATTGGTGGCCACTCAGACCAATAATTCACACAGTCCCTTCTGGTGGTGACATTTAACAAATTGCCAATAGACTGACAACTTGGGAAGCTCTCCTATTATCTAGTACAAGTTCAAAATAACTGACAGGATAGACGAGGACGATTTTCAACTAAAATAGCGTACCTCTGGGTTGCATTCGTTTCTTTAAGAGACTCTCACACACGTTACTGTGGTTGGGGTGTCTCTGACCTGTACACGCAAGATGGGTCCTCTGGTGAGCTGTGTGCTTTCTCACTTACTCATCTGATACCCATTGTCTCTCTACGACCTCATCTGCAAATTCCTTGCAGAGTGAAGTATGGCAACCATCATTGTGATAAGGGGAAAAAATGAATTTAGAATATTAAGAACTTTTTTTCAATTTCTTTGTAATCGATGAAGATGCTGGTGGATAGGTGAGGGAACCACTGTATAAGTAAATACTTTAATAAACAGATAATTTATGAGGATATTTAGTGTTCAGGAGCAAAATTTACATATAAAGTGGTTTTCTAAACTGCTCTAAAATAGTTTCGAGCTGTAAGCATTTCCCTTGCTTACATTTTTAGATTGCTTTATAAGCCCTTATTTCACAGAAAGTAAAAAGGAACAGCCATGTGAGCTGGAGTTATCTCCAATGCTGATTTAGAGGAGTTTCAGAAAGAAGCGAGGTTTCTGCCATGCTTGAGAGAAACCAGGCTGCATTTTTATTTAGGTTTTGTGCCAAACCAGCAGGATCCCTCCTTTCACTCCGTCAAGCACCTCCTCCCTAAGCCGGGTGCAATGAGAACCTTTGTTTTTCTGTCTAACCCTCATCTGTTCTAGTCTGCCTTCCCTTTGGCTAAACTGTGTATTTCTCAAGGAAAAAAGACGCAAAGGAAAACCTCCAAACCTTCTAAGTCTCCTAGCACCATCCAACACACACCCCTCTGTTCATCAGTGTTTGTTTACGAGATCCAAGAATGAGGAAGGCAAAACTATAGAGTCTTAATATGCTTCCAACACTAAGAAGTTGGTTGAAATCTTTTAAGGCTGAACACTAGCCTGCCTGCCAGTGAAGGAGACATCAGAGACACTGATTCGATCCCTGGGTTGAGAAGATTCCCAGGAGAAGGAAATGGCAACCCACTCCAGTATTCTTGCCTGGAGAATCCCATGGACAGAGGAGCCTGGCGGGCCTCAGCCCATGGGTTGTAAAGAGTCGGACAGGGCTGGGTGACTAACACTTTCACTTTTCGCTTTCAAGACTGAACACTAGAAAAAAACAAAAAGGCAAAGAAAAATAAAACACACAAAGGAAAAATAATACCCACATAATATTTTCAATATGAAACATTTTAAAATTTGTATCTGTTTATATTTGTTCATTTGTACGCATTTATATATTCTCTAGTACTATTTATTTGTACATTGTCGTGTTGTTGCTTAGTTACTCGGTTGTATCTGACTCTTTGCAACTTCATGGACTGTAGCCCGCCAGGCTGCTCTGTCCATGGGATTCTCCAGACAAGAATACTGGGGTGTGGGTTGCCATTTCCTCCTCCAGGGGATCTTCCTGACCCAGGGATCAAACCCATGTCTCCTGTGTCTCCTGCATTACAGGTAGATTCTTTACCCACTGAGCCATTGGGGAAATGCCCGTTCTCCTTGGCTCCCTCCAAAAAGGCACCTTCAGAGTGGTTCCTGGCTGTGGAAGGCCAGCGTGGGAGTGACCCATGATGGGTGGCCCATTCCTTGCAAGTCTCTGGCCTTGGGTGAGCTTGTGGGTGCCCATGGCTCAGCTTTGGTCTCCCGTGGGGTGGCCCTTAGGCTCCTGATGTGAGCTCAGCCATCCCCTGGCTTCAGTCTCTGGGTGAGCCTCTCGGGGCTTCGGCTGCTCTGTACAGTGTCCAGGACAGCAGGGTTTGAACAAAGACCCTGTGAGGTTCTATAACGTCTGTGAAAGGGCACGACTCCTGGACACAGAGCAGAGATTATCTGTGGTGTATGTACTGCTCTAGCCTCTATTTTAGACTGACTGGTTGTCTTTCCCTCTCCTTCTCCCCCACCAAGAACAAGTATGTGCATCTCAGATCCTGGAGGTTTAGTGAGGAAAGATATGTTGAAAGGTGGTGATCAATGATGCCAATTTCCTTCTCCACAGTGACAGAAATTACAGGGATGAACAGTTGAGTAGTGAAATTCCCTGGTGGTCCAGTGGTTTAGAATCTGCCTTGCAGTGTGGGGAACACCAGTTTGATCCCTGGTGTGGGAAGATCCCACATTCCTGAGCAGCTAAGTCCAGGAGCCACAACTACCAAAGCCCGTGCCCCTGGAGACTGTGATCTGCAACCAGAGGAGCCACCGCAAGGTGAAGCCCGAGCTCGACAATCAGGAGGAGCCCCCACTCACCTCAACTAGAGAAAGCCAGCCTGCAGCAGTGGAGACTCCGCACAGTCCATAAATATATGCATAAATCTTATAAAAATAGAAACCAGCTTAGTAGGTAAGACTTTCTTTTTCAAAGCTGGAGAGCTGTTGCTACCTATTCCCCTGAAAATAAATTATGCAGGCTGACCTTATTCTCCTATGTGCTCTATTTTTTTTAAGTTTCAAAATTTCATTAATAATATATTTAGATACGGAGTTGATGAAAACCTCAATAACCCTCCCTAACTCAATTTCTTCCATGTTCATAGATCTGTCATTTTCCCTTTTCTCTTTCTAAAAGAATGCTAGCTCTTCAAACCTTGAAAGTTCAGGTCCTAGTGATTCTCATTAAAATAGGATACACATGAAGAGTCCTCTTAAAAATATGGATTCAAA